CCAGACCCGCTTGCAACACCATAATTTCCCATATGAAGAAGGTCACTGGCTCATGACCTGGATTGGTGCTATCTAAGTCATGTCCCTCCTCATACTTGTTGCAGAGGTGATTCAGTAGAGGTCAAAAAAATCATAGAATCGTTACCCGAATTTTTCAAAAAAAAAAATGTATTCAAGCATCTTTACAATCAAAGAAATCATGCATACATGTTAGATCCCAAATAAGTTTAGACTTGCTTCAAATCCCAGTACATACCAACAACATGACCTGTTTGGAAGTTTTCCCCTGAGTGAATAAGGCCTCAGAAATGAGCGCCTTGATGCGAACTTAGCACAAGTCCCTCCGAGGAGGTCGCGCAGCGAGCGACCTCCTCGGGGGCACTTAGATATGTTAAGTTTGGCGACCTCTTCGGAGGAACTTGTGTTAAGTTCGGCTTTGATGAGGTTCTTTGTCAATGAGTACATGAGCAATTCCAGCGTCGAGAGAGCTTTCCATTCTTCCTTTCCTGAGCCCATTTGTCACGTCGATTCAGTTCGACATAGTATTTCGACTTTGCCGTTTGAGGAGTCGTCCCGCAATTTCCATCTGAAGTATGCTCGAGTTGCATACATACACAAGTTGTCTGACACCCACGTTGACCAGCAGTTGAACGAGCCAAAAGGTTGCTGTTTGTTGGGAAAGCATCCATGTGGAATGTCTCAGCGGGCTTTATAAGTTTTACATTGTATTGACTTGAGATTGTTTTTATTTTTTCCAATTTGCAGTTTGGACTACGATCCATCAGTCCAAGCATTCACCAATGGACCAACACAGGTTCAAAACAAGCACATAGCAGTCTTAATAGCCTTAATTTGTTAATTGGCTGCATGGCAACGTGTATGAATGTTTGAAGGGCCAAAAATAGAAATTGAGATGCTATTTAATCATTCATTTAATCGTTTAAATGTGTTTTTTCATTTGTTATTTGTTTTTCTTTGACATGGACATATACAGAAGGACCAACAAATGATGAAAATGGGAAAGGAGGGAACCACCAGCTAAAATTTGCATTTTGCCTTTTTTTGTGTGTTTGGGTTCTGAGATGAAGAAGAATGTATAACACGTGGAACTGATTAAGTGGTATGTTAATGGAAACTTGTGTGAAGAATATGAAATAGAAGTCAAGTGAAAAGTTTGACTTGAATGTTTACGCATCTCCGCCAGTAGCCGCTTCTTCAAAGTCATCAAATCCGTGCTCTGGAGATAAACCCGGTCAACAGAAAAGAACAAGGGCAATCCACTCGAAATTGATTAGCTCTCCTGGTCTAAGATGAATGGATGGACAGATCGTTGCAGAGGGGTTTGGACGAGGGGGATGACTTACCGATCAAGTAATTCGCAGCCATCTCTTCATTCTTATCACACGCAAAATACGCCTGGACGACCAATTGTCGCTCAAAGCCTAGACCAACCAATCGCTCGATCGCATCCCGCTCCTCTTGACTGACCTGGACGTATTGGGTTTGGTCCTCTGGTCCCCCAGCTCCAGCACCCCCCATCATCCCAGGTGGTAATGATGAATCGTCGTCTAGCCCTTCGGCCCCCTCGGCCAAGAAAGACATCAGTAGGGTCGGGTTAGAGGTGAGTTGGGTGAGGAGGTTTGGATTGCTCTGGCCAAGTTGCTGTAAGAACGGCTGCAAGAGATTGGGATTCTGTTGAACAAGCTGTCGAAGTTGTATCATCTGAGGGTTGTTCCGTAGTGCTTCGAGTGCACGACTGGTAGGGATCGATTGAGCCCCAGCTTGAGCAGGTTCTGCTGTCGGAAGGGCTGCTTCACCTGGTTGCCTTTGTTGAGCAACATGCTCTGCAGCAGCTTCGAATAGGTTACGCGAGCCCGCTGCGGGGGCAGCAGCAGCGGATGGAGTCGTAGCAGATGGGTTCACTGTTGACGGGGCATTGGTTGGCAGTGTAACTGGAGGTGCAGGCGCATCTAAGCCTGCTGGAATACCCTGCGAAAGAAGATGAGGATACGTTCAGTAAGGTTTGTGTTGCATCAGAGAAAAGAGAGAAAAAAAACGATTCTAGGGGACAAATGAGTGGGTCAAGTACGGTCATCAGATATTCGACTGCCCGATCGGGGTTGTTGAATGCAGCACGCATCGCCTTCGTGACTTGCTCTCTCGGGAATCCCATGCCGTTGACGATTTCGTCGATCGTCTTTTGTAGGTTTGAACCGACCAAAAATCCGGGGTCTTGGGTGCCACTAGCGGGAGTAGCAGCGCTAGCATTATCAGCATCGGTTGAGGCGGGGGCAGTAGTTGAGGAAGGTGTGGCGGTAGCGGGTTGAGCAGCAGCTGGTGTAGGTGCGGTGGCGCTGGTGGAAGCAGCTGCTCCAGCTCCACTCGGGACGCTTGCGGGGGCAGGAACAGTCGGGGCGGTCTTGGGCTAGATAAGAGTCTCAGTGAACCATGTAGATTTTTATCTGAGGAGGAAGAGAATGTTTGGCTTACTTTGATCAACATGACAACAAAGAAGTCTTTCTCCTTGACGCCGATTTGCTCGATCGTCTTATCATCTGCCAAGACCTTCCCACTGAAGATCAACTTCTGCTGTTCAGGTTCGAAACCTTGAGATTCTTTGATTAGACTCTTCAGTTTCTCGACCGTTGTCGATGGCTCGACATCCAGGACAAACTGTTGCTTCTGGAGGGTTTCTATCATGAATCAAATCGATACCAGCTGGGTTAGCTACTTTTGTTTTTCAGTCGCGAAATATGTTTTTTTTTAAAAAAATATAGAGGGAGGTCAGACTAACTGAATGTGAGTTTCATGATGAGGAGGATCGAGGCTCGTGGGGTTGGTATTCCTTCTTGTTATTCTTTCGTGATCAGTTCCTTTAGTTGTTGGGGTTCACAGCAGAGGCGAAAGGATATGGATGTTGAATGTTGGAGGAAGGTGGTGGTGGGTGATAGCTGTCACAGGCTCAACTGAGTATGTAATCGTCATCACACTGGTTCCAATGGGATGTCACAGTATTCCGATCGACTGAACCACTTCACAACCGAAAACAGGGGACAGCCAAATTATCTATCGGGTTCATTCACTTTTCTCTGCGCTCCTTTATAAAGTTCCAAGACCAAATCGAATATTCTCGTGACCAAACTATCCCTATGTCCAGCGTATCGCTCAAATGGTTTTGACTGTCTCTTAAAATAATCACCAAAGCCTCTTTTCATCATCTGTTGACCTTAGAACATCCAAGAATACTCTAAAATAGTGGATCTGTTTAGGACTTGAGACCTCACAAGAGGCATGGACAACATGACGGATTGTTAACATCATGGAGAGTCCATTTTTGGGGCGCCAAGTCAAAAGGTAGATCCCAGGACCTAATGAGATAACATCCTACAGCAATTCCTTGCGGCGTTCAAGAGTAATACATTTCGCTAAGCATTAGGAGTGGTTATTAAACTTGACCCATCAGTTTTTTCCCCTGC